CCAACTCCATACAAGACTTGAATGGATCAAAGCGCATGCCGGCCACCATGGCAATGAGTTGGCTGACCATCTAGGCCAAAGAAGCTGCCACAGGAGCAACATCTCAACAAATCAACATCCCATGGCCAGTGTCTTACTGAAAAGAACATTGCGCTTAAAGGCAATCGGGAAATGGCAGCAGACATGGGATAACAGCGATACCGGCCGACAGACTTATTACCATGTCAGCTACGTGGACACTACCAAAAATTTTGCAAACATGCAATTGGTAAGATACATTACAGGTCACGGACCATTTCCCGAGTACTTTAACAAACGCGGGATAAGTAACACTAGCCAATGCGCCTGTGGACACACTGGCTCTCCGGAGCATTATCTGACCTCCTGTCCCCTTACAAAGGGCTACACATCAACCTCCCATCGACCAATCAACAAGCTTTCTGCAAGTTTTTGATAAAACAGAAGCACATGGTTAGAAAAATAGGGCTTTTAATGGATAAACTGGCTGACCTTGACACAGACCTGTGCCATACTTAGTCAGTCATATAGACGAATAGTAATTCAGAGTCTAGCACAAACTACCAACACCACAAAATAACTGTGAAATATCGTAAGAAGTATCCAACACTCCTAGTAATATAGCAAGAATCAACTGTTTAATCAATTTGCATTATACCAACCAAACAAATTATGTCTATTATCTGTACCACAATATGTAAATAAGGACCATCTGTACCTGTTTATAAATGTATAATGCATCCAATGATTCTATACTCAATGTAATTATGCGCCTTGTATTTGTATATATATGTTCTAGTATAAATGTTACTGTATTGATCATTAACTGTATTAATCATTGCTGCATTATTGTATTAATATTATTTAACATAATCAAATTAATAGTACCAATTATTAACCTTATTACTATTATTAATTATTATTAACCTTATTACGTACTTTCAAGTCTACGAGACTAAGGTACTATGTGCATTAAGATTGTGAGTCCAATGGTGCTTAATACTATGTATATACATCCTCGTATGTATGATAATGTAACCATGCATCCGAATATAACATCATGCAACATGGCACTTTACCGCATAGTGTTAATCTAAAGTCTTAATTCTAAAAAATCCATTGCATTAACTAACTTCTATAGCATTATTATTATATATATTATATATAATTTATATATTTGTTTATATATTATGTACCGTCTGTATATGTACCATGTATATAATGCTTATAAATCCAATGATTACTGCGTGCCTAATAATTGTGTATACGTGTTTTAGTATGTATATAACTGAATCCATGGCTCCGCGCATATCATCCTGTAGCATGGCACTGTACCACACAGCGTTAAACTAGGATCTTACACTAAAACTAACAGCACCAATGAATTGTTCCAGCATTGTACTAATCTTATGTATTATGTACGTATATGCATAGTGCATCTAATAATTATGTATCCTATGTTAATTATGCACCTAATATTTGTATATTTTTATATATATATAGTATTAACAAGTAGAAATATTACTGTATTCATGCGTCAGTATTTAACACTGTGTAACATGAAGCCGTTTCGCATAGTGTTAAACTAGAATCTTACTATAAAATTAACTGCATTTATTACTTTCTATAGCACTGTATTATGAACCATCTGTTTATATATGTATATGTATACCATGTACCTAATGTCTGAGAATCTAGTGATTATTATGTGCCTAAAAATTGTGTATATGTATATTAGTATATATATATTAGTTTATCCATCCAATCGCCTACAGCATCATGTTACATGTAAAAATAACAGCACCAATTACTTGCCCTAGCATTGTATTAAGAAACTAATATATGAATATGTATATGTATTATGCGCCTAATGTATATGTACCCAATGACAATTATGCACCTTATAATTGTGTATAAATGCATTATTTTTAAAATACTATAAAATTAATTGCATCAATTATCCTCAACGGCACTCTACAATGTACCATCTGCTCATGTATATAAATGTGCCATGTACCTATTGATTATGAAATCAAATGATATAAGCATTGTAAATAGGTATAGCATCGTAAACAGGAAAATGGTATAGCATTGTAAATAGGAAGCTGTACCCATGCACCCGCATACATTTCTACGTAACGTGACACAGTAAGGCAAAATATCAACCTAGTGTCCTATTATGAAATTAATAAGCACCTATTACTAGTTATAACATTATTTTATGGATCTAGAGTTTAAGTATATGTATTAAGTACCAAATGTTTATGTCACCAATGACTATTATGTACCAAATATAACCGTATATACGCTTTTGTCTATATGTAATTGTGTATGTCCTTGTATATATGTAATTGTACCCATGTATCTACTAGTGTTATCACATATCTTGGCACTGTATAGTTAATATACATCTATTATGCACTGAATAATCATGTACCTAATGTGTCTGTACACAAAATGTCTGTATATATGTATATGAATTTATGTTCTGTATACAAAATGTCTGTATATATGTATGTGAATTTATGTTCTGTATATATGATAATGTAACTATGTATCTGCGCATTTTATCCTGTAACATGGCACCATATCGCAAAGAACTAACTAGAGCCCCACTCTAAAATTAAGTGCACCAATTATCTGTTCAGCATTGTATTAAGTACCTATTGTTAATGTATGTTAAAGTAGCACTTACCTAACACTTGGGTATCCACTAATTACTGTGTACCTAATACACATGTTTTAATATCTTTGTACATTGGTTAATGTACTTAGGAAACAGTACAAATAATTCAGTAGCAAGACACTGTACCACACAGTACTAATCTAGGGTTTAACTTTTAATTCACTGTACTAATTACTTATTCCAGCATAACATTGTGCACCTAATATTTCAGTATGTACATGTCTTCTGTAATCTAATGATAATGCTTCAAAGGATCATAGTGTACTCAACATATGAGTACACACATTATGTATATATGCTACCGTATCCATGCTTTTGCATACACCTTGTAACATGGCAATGTATTATCCAGTGTCTAACATTAATTAGTTTTAACGCCACTGTATGAAGTACCAAATTTGTATGTATGTTTATATATTAGTATATTAGCACAATGAACACGTATGGTTATCTAGATAAAAGTGGACGTGGCGCTATACTGAGTAACCGTATTGTTAGAGGGGTGGTGCCCACGTCCTCCGTCGCATGTCTATGAGTATCATCAATAAAATCTATTTTTAGCATATGGAAAGAAATTTTTGGTAAATTTTTACTCATCAACATTTTTTAGTACATTTAACTTAAGTCTGTAATCATTGCCAGCATAATGTCAACATAAAAAGGTTACCATACTCCTTTATTATTCAATTACTAACATAAATGTTTAGGCATCGCTACACGAGTCATTACTCAAGTTGTCATGTTTTGATAAACATGGTGGTGATGAAAGGAAAGTATAATAAATAATGATTTGCCAGGTTGGCGTCAGATAACAATGTACTATGTGGAATGTTTCGGTTCGAGATGTGTGCCAAACAGATACGCAGCAACTGAGCCAAATTACTGATCGTATTAATTTATGCTAAAATGATTGTTTCTTCAATAACAAGGTATTTTATTTAGTATTGAAGTGAAATTAAGAATCGGGACTCTCCAGATGTTTTATTATGCACGGAGAGGGGAAGGGAATCAAATGTGCATACATATAAAGCCAGCAAGAAAAAAATGTTGGTGGTTTTGAGGGCCAGATTTCAGATCATTCCAGATAATGGATGGATTTCAGATGATTACAGATTTCATGTACTGTATTAAACATAAAATAGAAAAGCTGTGACCTCTCGTGGCCAGTAACATGAAACTGTAACAGATGGCAATAATGTGTAAAGCAATTTTAGATGAAACCCCCAAGTTTTAAAACTTTTGTTTTGGAAAACAGGTGAGATATTATTTTTATACATTTAAACTTGTCAAGATTCTAATAATATAATCAATAGGATGTTTGTTAAAAGCCTTATTATTATGATCTAATTTAATGATTGGCATTCTACAAACTGTTTTGGTGTTAGTTTTAAGATATTATGCAATTATAAGCTTTAAGGCATGAATTGCCTACTTTAGTTATACTTTCAGGTTTCATTTATTGTTGCTTCAGTTATTATTATTTGCAGTATTAGCAGTGGCATCAGCATAGGGCAGGAAGCAGAGCATCTGTAACTGGTACATCCAAACTGGAAAGCAGAATTAAGGGGTAGCAAAATTTTTAAAATTTAGGAAGAAACTGGGTGGAAGAATTATGCAGTTGCCGAGTTTACCTCAGATGGAAAATGCTACGGGCAGCCCAGCATCAATATTTTGGTACAGTTTCACATGTTCACTTATTCAATTCAATACAGAATTGTAGGCTCACTACTTTATAAAAAAAAATTATCTAAAGCAGGGGTTCTTAACTGGTGTAGTACGCAAGAGAAAAATAGGTGATACGCAAAGAAGCAAAGTATTTTTAATTATTAAATTCAAAAATTAAAACCCCTAACATCCTGACTGAGTTTTTTTCTCTAACACTCGTAAATTTATGCGATCTGAGCTTTTTAAAGGTGGTGGTAGTAGTACTTTGTAGTAGGGGTACTAAAGGTTTTCAATTTTTGTTATATGGTATGCATTAGTGAAAAGGTTGAAAACCACTGATCTAAAGTATCTATGTTACTGTAAATTAAAATTCTAAAGAATTTTTCCTTAGACAAGAATAGTTTTTTAGACTGAATTTCAAATGAAGATTTTTAAAATACTAGCATTTGAATCGTGTTAGATAATAATAAATTATATAATAAGAGAAGTAGATTTCTATCCATTTCATACAAAATCAAAATTATGTAAAAAAGTATCTATTTAAAAATAGAATAATTATTTTACTTATAATTAATTTCCAATATTGTAATATAAAATGTCTAATGGTAATTTTCTCATTTATTTTTCTTACCTGTGTTGTTGTGGATTTAAGTTGCTGAGTCATAACTTCTAATTTTTCATGCAATGTTGCATTTTCTAAACATTTGACTGAATATTTCTCTGTCATAGATAAGATTTCATATTTAACACTAGCAATATCTGACCTGAAATAAAAACAAAATATTAGTTTTTATACATGATTCAGAATAAAAATTTATAAGCAAATTTACAATATATAACAACACAAAATGCTACCAGGAGTTCTGTAAGATTTTTGCAAACTTCAGCATGCAGATAATTTTCTCAAATATGACTTTTTCCCCCTTTGACTTACACTGTCAGAAAAATTTCAGTAAACATCTGGTAGTTATTTTTCAAAAATCACTATAAAAACTAGTTTTTAAGTTCATCTTCTGTGTAATATTTTTTATATATGTTTTTCTCGTGTTTATATTTTTCTTAAACTCTAGTTACAGATATTTATGGCATTTATAATTTGACACTGAAATTGAATTTTGTACTGGACAAACAGAACAAGAGCACTGGAGGAATGATTATAGATAGTGAGACACAAATCTTTTAAAAATAAGGAATGGTACAAATCTCATTATCTACGAAGTAATGGGTACCTTTTTTTTTTTAATTTCTTCGTCCAGAGTTATTCTAAATTTCTGCAGCTTTTGTGAATTAGGCTTCTTAATAGCATTTTATAACTCAAGTCTATATTATGTCTTCTTTTTTTTTTTACCGTGAAACATTTTTACATGATTTTTTACCTCTTTAACTTTTGGCATCTGTAATTTATTTATATATTCTGTGATCATCATTCTTACTACTGTTAAGAAGTCAAATAGATTTTACTAGCCCAGCTATCTAATCCACCCAAGGTGAGGTGAATGACTCATGCATGTTGAGCGAAAATTCAAAAGTATATTAAGTTCAGTATTAATAGAATAGCAATGAAAGGAATTTTTCAGATACATAATTCTGAGATTTATCTCAGACGCTAACACATCTTGTGTGGGTTTTTTTCCCACGAAACTCTCACCAAGTAGTGGGAAATTTTTTTGCAGTTTGTGCACAAAACAGATGTAGTACCAGGTTTCATGTCTTGTATTGTAATGTCTTTCCATTTGAGGACTTTATTGGAAGTTGTGACTTTATCAATATTTTGGTAGTAAAATCTATTTGATTTCTCTACAAGGAACGTACAAAAAATCACCAATAAATAAAGCCACAGCATCTTCAACACTATTTGGAACATTTTCTGTAGTTATTCCTAAGTGACCTAAAAACTCTTTTAAGATTGGGGGTTTGTCTACTGACTACCACTCTTCTTGAGAATCAGAATCATCCAAATCCGGGCTTGAAAACTGCTGCACTCGAATCATCATCGATAAGCCTCGTCCTCACAATTTGACAATCTATCTGCACACAATTCTTCATCATCATATTCTATTTTATTATTGTTCATCCTTAGGAATTTACTGTAAAAAAAGTCAAACTAGGCTAAGAACAAACGAATGTTAAATCAATGCTACTACCAATGAAGTTCAATTACGCAGACATACTTGTGGACAATGTACAAGCAGCGTGCACTTGGTGATATTATCAGCTGTGTAGAGTTATGTCTTCCACTCAACTTTACAGATTTATGTCAATGCAAAGCTGGAGACCTGGTGTCGAATGCTTATGTAGCATCAGCAAAGCACATTCATGGGAATGCATTTCGCAACACACATTTTAATGTTGAAATGTATGGCCACATATCTAGTGCTCATGTGTACCTGTCCTTAAATAATAGTGCTCATGCAAATATCTAGTGCTCATGTGTTTTTATAAACATTAAAAAAAGCCCTCTATAACAATAATCCGCCAACAATTCATAGAAAACAACTTTTGTCATTACTCATGCTTAACTACCAAGCCGCACAAAATAACTTTAGTCGCTTCTGCGCTCGATTACTAATTCGCACAAAACAGCTTTAATCACTTCCTGCGCAAGATGCCTTAATAGTCAACATGGCCACCATCTCCTCTACTAAAATGCTTTTCAGAAATTTAATATTAACTTTTGTTGATGTTAATATTTAATGCTACTTTTGTTTATAAAAGTTTAAGAGAATAGATATCTGATAACAAGTCATAGTAGTTTATTATGATATATTAAACTTGTAACTTACTCATAACATTTTTTGAAGGCTTCAGTTTCAAATCTTTTGTTCATTTTAAGTACAAATTCATCCTTGAATTTTTGAATTTGTCGTTGTAATTCTTCCGAATGTGCTTTTCTTACAGCTTCTAAAGCTATAAAAAAATATTGAGTTTTAGACTGCTATAAATTCTTTCATTTACTTTAAAAAATGCATACACAAAAACATAATTTCATTTACATGTGGTTTCAAAAACTGTAAATATGCATATGCAACAACATCAATAAAATTTTAAGTTGATAAATAAAACGAGTTAAGCTATGAAATAGAACAAGTTTGCAGAAAAGAGCTTCCAGTTTTATAGGAACAAAGTTATCAATAGCAAAGAACTTTTCATTTCAACTAGAACAGGTTAGGTTTAGATTAGAACAATAAGTATAGTATGCTAAGACATGCAAGAAGAAAGGTGCCTTTGTGAAGGACCTTTTAAGGGAAACTAGCTTGATTTCACATTGCACATAGGGAAAACTATGAAAACACCCATGCAGGCAATTCATTTGGGATTTGAATTATCTGTATTCAGTGGACTTAATCACTAGCCCACCGATCTGGTATTTTAAACATAATTTGATTTAATGTTTGGGTCATTATTTGTAAGTAACAGTTATTTATTATATTACTAAACTCAGTGAAAGTACTTAAAAATTAATATACAGAATTTATGTTTCACATTTAATTATATTCACTTGGCAATGGAAAAGTCAAAACATCTTCGAAACTGAAAAATTTATACACTTGATTTACTGGTTCATGAGACAAAAATATTAATACCTAACATTTATCTAAAATACATATTTGGCAGCAACAGAAAGTTTTAACACAAAAAAGTATATGTAAAAAGCATAATTTCCCATGAACAATCTTCTGCAGATATTTGGTTAAAAAATTAAGAAAAACTTGTTTTTTTTTTTAAAGAGTTTAGTTTAAAAAATTACTAATCTAAATATTTAAATTATAGCACATGGAATTATGAAATGATATTAACTGCAAAAAATACATTTTATTCAATTTCGGACTTGAAAAATTTGATACATTATAGCATTTTGAAGCTGATATTTTAAAAAAGTGTATCAGTTCAATGCAGTATACAAAGAAAGTAAGAATATTTCAGTAGGGATGTTTCACAAATACTTTCCAAAGACTGAAATTCTGAAAGTTTAAAGCTGGAATTGTACCAATTATGACATTTCTTTTCTTTTTAACCTTTTCACACTGAATGCAGATGTGCCAGCACAAAGCGCTTCATGTCTGTCACGCCAGCATGACACAGTGTTTTCTTTCACCCCCACCTATCATGCAATCCTGTCAGAGATTTGGAACATTTTGGAAACTAATATTATTGATAAAAGAGGTTGTCATATGTCTACAAGATTTTAGATACATGTAGATTTGACCTTCTGCATGTATCTTGTACTCGGAATGAGACAAAGATGACTCGCACACACTTGGATTTGGATTTCCAGTCGTTTCCAATCCAGGACTATACCTTGTGTATGTAAAATTTTTCTATTTTGAGTGTTAATTTCTTCAAGTGTAAAAAATCTTGAATGAATTATGTGGATCTAAATCTTATATCTGCAACTTTATCATTTATACAGGAAAAGAAACTTCAGGATTACATGAAGAGAGAGCTGTTAAATCTCTACTCGAAGAACTTTCTGGTCAAGGGTACCATTTATATATTGATACTTTTTCATGTATCTATCAATAGCAGATAAACCCTTTAAATTTTTATCAATAGCAGATAAACCCTTTAAACCTAGAACAAATACTTGTGGGACTGTAAACAGAAGGAAAGGAATGAATGACTGACAACTTTCCACTGTTGAAAATTGGTGACAGATTGGTTTTGCAGGGCGGGAACAAAATTTAATTGCTTTTAAAGATATACAGATAATACTTTGTTAAAATAAAAGTTATAAAAAAGTACAAATGGTGATGTTTCGTTTGTTCACACTCCTCCGAAAATCCTCCAGAAAGACAAATCAGCTATAATGAAATGCAAGGATTGTAACACAGAACTGTGTGTAGATCCCTTCTTTCAAATTTATACAAACACTTCATTACATATAACATACATAAATAAAAATTGGATAAATTTTCCTTTGTTTACCTATTGCAGTGGCATGTGCTTCATCTGCTAGTGCTTTTTCTCTTTCTGCCATTAAGTCTTCTAACTCTTTTTGATGCCTCATTTCTAATTCAGATATTATCTTTTTATGAGAAGCATCCATTGCTGATAAGCCTTTCTCACACAATGACTATAAAATATGAAGGAAAAAAATATTCATAGTGAAATCTGAATATAGCGGTTCTAAATGTAATAATTAATTTATCAATGATAATAATTACAAATTTAACACAGTCTTAATAATTTAAACGTTAAAAAATGTTATACAGAGAGCTCTAATAATCAAATAATATAAGAACCAATCATAAATAAAATAAAACATTTTAAAATGTTATATATTGTGATATTTATTTAATCAAAACATTTCACTATGATGATCAAATTTGAAAACAAAATAATGTTTTCCGGGGTAAAACTTTATTAGTCATCCTAATATAAATGGCTTAATGATAATTTAACACGTTGAGCGCGGCGCCATATTTGCTGTTCTTTCCGTTCAGCCAGCAGCGAGCTAAGCCGTATTTTTGTTTAGAATGTTTCAATACATTTCATTAAAACTAAATTTGATCACATTTCATTGAGACTATATTTATTTTTTAACTTTAATACTGTCGGTCTAGAGGACCAATGCCAGTCAAACGAAAATTCCAGTGCCGCTCCCCAGGGACTGACGCTGGCCACACGAAAAGTTCACTGCCAGTCCCCAGAGACCGCCGCCGCGCTCAACGTGTTAATTAATTTTAAATTTCGGATTCTTATCATTCTTGTCTTGTTACATTATACCATATATAACATGTCCTTAGAAAAATACTGCATTCATTTCTGGCTTGAACTGGATACAAGTTGATATGCAGCAGTTCTGCAGCATAAACATATAGTTTATTCATTCTGCCAGCTAAAAAGTTTATGTTTCTTCTTTTATTTAAAACAATAAAAGTTATTTAATTAAAAGGGGAAAGGAAACATACTGATTGAATTTATACTGAGCTGGGTAGTTTTAAAGTTTTAACATTTAGCATTTGCAGAAATATACTGTTTTCAGGATGATAAATGTTGCAGAAGAACAAAAATTATTTCTTCAGGATTATATGATTTTACTTCTCATTCTAAACCACGATTAATCAACTTATAATTTGCTCTCTGAAATTTTTTTATATATATATCAGACTCGCTTATTTTTAATTAAATTAATACTGTACTTGAAATTTATTTTTTTAAATGAAAATCTGTTATGATTATAAAGCAGAACTTCTAAAAATTAACTGGAGAATTATTTCTGGATTTCTTACATATATCATATATAAATATACATGTGCTTTATGTAATAAAAAAGGAAGAGGAAATTATATTACCTTTAGCTGCTCTATCTCACTGCTGTATCTCAGTTTAATAAGATCTTCTCGTATATTTTCATGTTTCTGCTGTAATTTCTGTTCATACATGTGTTGTAAATTTCGTATTTCTTCATCATACTTATTCTAAAAAAAAGATAATATGCATTTGCATTAGTTATAATAATGTATATGTGACATCACTTATACTTGCACATGATAACTTCAAGAAGTCCACCTGAAAAATAGAATTTTTTGAAAAAAATCAAGAAGTTATTCCTGTTACATTTAACATTTATATTTATTTTGATGAGCAAAATTGTTAACGTTCTCTATTTAAGAATGTGCTTAATTTCTGATGCATAAGAAAGTACTGTATCATAAATATTATTCTACAAGATAACTGGTATTTATGCAAGTACAACCACCTTGGTACAGTTTGGCAATTTTCATGGGGGGGGGAAATGATGACTAATTATTGCAAAAAATTTTTTATTATACAGTCAAAAGTCGTTAATCCGGACCTCAAAGCTAAAAACTGTCTGCGCATGCGCCGAGTTGACACACGCGCATAGGCGTTTAAGCGTGCGCGTAAGACCTTTACAACTGCGCATATGTGTGTGCGCAAGCACAGAATACGTTTTCGCGTGCGTGTTTTATGTATAACGGACGGTATAAGCTAAAATTATTTATTTCAGTTAATGTTGATGATTGCGTTGTTCCTTAATCTTCGAATTATTTCCGGCTTATTATTTTTTGCAGACTGTAAAAGCAATTTTATAAAAGTAAACTTGAACTTTCAATTATGTCAAATAGAATTTCCGATACTGGAGATCCCAAAGGATCTACAAAACGAAAGTATGTTCCGATGTCCATCAAACAAAAAGTGGAATTGGTGCAAAAAATGGATAAAGACATGAAGAAGGTGACAGAAAGTTTAGTGAAAACGAAAAAATTTCGATTGACAAGTTAGTCGGTATTCTCGGCACAGCAATTACGGGACTTGAACAGCAGAACTTTGTAACTGAACAAGAAATTATGTCTGTTTATAGAATTAAAGAGAAACTATTATCTCATAAAACGAAGCAACTTAAACAACTTACATTAAAAGAAATATTTAATAAAGTAAACAAATAAATATTAAGCTTTTTTCTAAATTTTGATACCCTTTAGATCATAATTGTCTTTTATTTTATAAATTACGGTTTCATATTTTTAATTTTAGAATTTCTGCATGCCCTCTTACGAGATTTAAACTGATGATCTATAATCTGGAAAAATTGATAATCCGGAATCGCCGAAGTCCCCGATGAGTCCGGATTAACGACTTTTGACTGTATACACATTTTGCATTCTAATTAGGCATTTATGCCAAAAGTTAATGAAAAAAAAACTATTTACAAGCAGGTTTTCGTTTCTTTTGTTCTGGTGATCACCAAGAGCAGATTTACAGCAGATTCATTTTGGTGATTCTATGGCAAAATAATGCATTCCTGCAAGAATTGTACTGTAATTTTTCCACTGCAGATTTATCTCACATACACATATTTTAAAACTGGTTTGCTTTAGTTGAATTTGTCAAAGAACATTAGGGCTGTGTGCCTTAGGGTGCCTTTGTGGAGGACTTTCTAAAGGTGTTGGTGTATTTAATTATGGCAAAGCACACGAAGGCTATCTGCCTAAGGGGAGGGATGCCTTTCGTGGAGGACTTTCTAAGGGAAACTGGCTCGTATACACGTTACACATGGGGAAAACCACGAAAACGCCCATGCAGCCAGCCCGTTTGCGGGATTCGAACCTCGGACCGAACTACCAGTGTTCAGCGACTTTACCGCTCGGCCGCTGGTGGGCGACTTTCTAAAGGAAATTGGCTTTTATACATGTTACATTATAGGAGAATCATCCTGTGGACTTAAGCCCAGATCAGAATTATCAATGTTCAGAGATTTTACCACTCAGCTGCTGGTGGACCTTATTTTAAAATTGAGTTTAATATAATAAATATCACAATTTTTCCAAAAAAACCATAGGAACTTAGGATATAAGAAAAAGCACATATGTGAAAATAGCAGCATTCTGCTTTTTTCATGTATGTTCATTTAGCATTGCTAAAACTTAAGAGTTATAACTAAGTCTGAAGAAACGATATGTTTGTGGTTTGCCAGACTTGGGCACATTCGGAAAATTTGGTAACATCTGTTGAAGTAATTGCATTAATACGCAAGTATCAAATAACTTAATATATGTAACTAAATATACAATCAAAACATACTTCTATTTTCTGCAAATTCTTTTGAGCGGACTGCAGCTCTTTTTCCAGTTTCCACTTTTCTTCACTGAATTGTTTCTCCTTAAAAACAAATTGAAAACAATAAAATGAGTACACTTTTCATTTTTAAAAGTAAAAAAGTAGCAAATTCATTATTATGCAGAATATAAACCATTACTGTATACCTGAATGTATAACATGTGGTATTTTCAATCATTTTAAATTAAATTTTCATGAAAAAAATAGCCATCATTACGTTAGAAATGAATTTGAAGGGCTGGTACTTTGTACATGAACATCATCAGTTTTTTCAGATTCTTATAAGTACATTTTAGTCACCTTTCCTTTCAATATGCTGTTTTTATATATTATTTATTTTTATTACAGTTTTCCCGAATCAGTCATACTCACCAGCTGCTACCAACTTTCATGAAATTAGATTCTAAAATATTCTATGTTTTATAATGAAAAATAATATCAGCCATTAGTCCTACTCTTAATATTCAGAATGGAAGTAATGTTATAAATATTAAGCATTTTAACATACAAATTAACTATATCAGTGAATGCACATATAGGGAAAATATGATAAAATATTTCACTATCATAACTAGATAAACCATAATAAATAAATATGGCTTTTCTTATAAAACATGACATCATATAATTAAAATGCAATCAATTCTTTACCATTTTGAAAACACATACAAAATATTTATGCTTTTTTAGAATAATGCCATTTAAAAATAACTAAGTTTTCCTTTTTAAGAACTCTGAAAGTTTCTGTTTAATAAAGACAATTTACTTTCTCATTTTCAATAGCCCCCCCCCCAAAAAAAGAGCATGTTAATTCAATGGAATCAGTTAACATATGCCTGGTATTACATTAGGGAACTTAATCTATATTTTTAAAAACTTCTTTCTTAAAAAAAAAAAAAAAAATATTGCTACTGACTAAAATGTTTTATTTACATTGTTTGTATAGCAATATATGTAAGCTGATGCCATGGTCTTTATCCATAATAATAATTACAACATAATTTCAACTGCTTGCACTTTGATAAGATGAGCACTTTGAAAAGATGAAATTTTTAACTAGCCAAACCGAATTTTAAAGTGGGAAAACTTTGGAGAAATTAAAAATGAATACTAATTTATTTTGACAAGTTAAATTTTTGATTATTTGACCTTTTTTTAGGTACCGAAGTTAGAAGTCAGCTTCTAAAAAGCAGTGCCATACAAAATTCAGAGTAGATTAAATAAAACTGTAGTTGATATTTTATTGCAGACATCACTTTGGAAGTTTCAAAATTTCAAGTTTGAAAATGCAAAGTAAGGATTATAGATAGAAATAAAAATAAAAAGAAAAAATTATCAGACAGTAGTAAATGTACCTTCCAACTGCAAATTTTTGTGTAATAAAATTGAGTACTTCAATAAATTTATTATCATTTGAAAATGAAACTCATTATGTAATCTACAAAAAAGGGCAAGTAATTACACTCATTAAAATTTTTACGCACCTTCTCTTGCATAATATTCTGTACATGATCTTTCCATAGTAATTCTTGTTCTTCAAACTTTTCCACAAGTGCTAGATCTTTTTCATGTTGCTCCATCAGATGCTGGATTTCAAGTTTCAAATTACGACATTTCTCGCAGAGTGTTCCACTTCGAGCTAATGTTCGGCTTTCGTCGAGTTCAGCCTGGAGGTAACTTACTTCTTGCCTCAACTCGATACAAGATTTGCAGCCTTCCTCTAATCGTCTCTTTTGCTCAGCTTGTAACTCAGAAATTTTTGCAGTAAGCTTTTCAAGCTGCAAATGATGTTCTTTCATTTCATTTTCAATAGCTTGTTTCCACTTTTGCTTAAAGCACAAAAGACTAGAGACACTTCGATGAGCTACATTTAGTTCATTAGGGTTGCATAAACTAAAGAATGCATTCGGAAACCTGTACAAGGGAAGATTTGACATTATGCTCATAGATCGTTGCTGTAAATTTTCATGGAATGTATTGAGTGCTTCTTTATCTCCTGAAAAATTATTCTGAATTATATTTTTTGACACATCACTATCGCTGTAAATTGCATCTTTGATTAATATAACTGTCCCATCTATAACTGTAATTATCGAAACAAGCTGTGCAAGTTCAGATATTGAACAATGCATATATTCGACAAGAACACCACATTTGCTACTTGAAAAGAAACTATTTTCCAGATTTTTTATACAGATACTTTTAATTTCTGATGATAAAAGACTTAGTTCCTGTTGCAATAATTTACATATATATTCAGTCCATTTCTCACTATACTGAAAACTGGAACATAAAAAATACACTTCATTTAATGACTTGGAAATATGAGCAATGAATGATTGTGATACTTGGGATATTATATGACTAATGTGTGAAAGAAACTGCTTTTGACCAAGAGGCCTCAGATCAGTTTTTTGGTCTGTTGATTTTGGAGAAATTTTATCATTCATAGAATCCTCAGAAAGTTCTAAAATTGTTGTACAAAACCTTTCCATGAACTTTCCTTTGAATTCAGTTAAAACAGTGCACACTTTTTTCCTCTGACTATCTACATCTTCAAATAAATCTTTTATGTCAGAAACGTCCATTATTTCTTTACAAGAACTTCTATAAAACAACAGACATGCCACTATATTGCACAAACTTGTTTTCTGTACACTGTTATGGACAGGATTAGACTTCTGTTGTATATATTGCTCAATACCTATGACTGCCTGTTTGACTCTGTTCAAGTGCTGCACTAATACGGCAGTTTTGTACTTTTCAAAATCGTTCATTTTAAAAATTACATTTGTTACTTCTTGTAACAAAATAATATTATACAATAACCTACTGACAATGCAGGTAATATCTTGAGGTATTACTGATGGATCATCCATTTTACCCGTAACATGATCTAGAGCCTGAACTAATTTACCAAGCTCTTCAGCAGCCTCACAGCTTATAAAGTCCATTTTGGAAGAATGAAAAGAAGTTACATTACCCTGCGCATAAAGAAGTTGCAGTGTTGTTTTTAACCAAGATATTAATGATGATACTTTATGCCCTAAGCTTTCCAAACAATCATTAAAAGTTAATGATAGAGGATCATCACTACAAATTTCATCTTTATCAGCATTAGATAAATCTGTCATACTCGCTGATAAAGATAAAGAATTCCAATCTTCATTAGTGTCCTGGGGTGTATTTTCATTCAAATTAACCTGTAAGCGAATTTTGGGTTTTGGAAGGTCATCCTGTTTTAATTTTACTTCCTCAGGGGGTGAAGATACAGTTTCAGCTACATCCTTTACTTTTTTATCCAAATTGTGTAGTCGCATTAGTAAGCTCTGTGATTCTCTATTTATTTCTTCTTTATCTTTGCAAATATCAACAGAAATACAATCAGAATTTTTCAAGACACCTTCTACTGCATCTATTTTTTGTTCTAGTTCTGAGAGCTTTGATTCATATTCCTTTGACAAACTAAGAGCTTCTTTTCCTTTCAGTGAACTTCTTCTCCGTTCTTGCCGCTGTTCTAATTTCATCACCCTTTGCCTTAGCTGCCTAACATTCTTCTCAGATGCTAGTAGTTTGCTAGTTAGGTCATCTACCCTAGCAACCATAAGTTCCATCTGGGATTGGTGAAGCTTATCTGCTTGGTCACTTGCCTGTTTTAGAGATATACACTGAAGTTCAAAATCATCAGACGAAGCTTGAGCAGTTTTCAGTTCAACTTTTAATCTCTTATTTTCTTCACGGACTTTATTTAATTGTTGTGCTATAAGCACATTCTGATTTGATGTACCGCTTAATTTAGAAACTTCTTGTTTCAATGAATGACAAGCAATAGCTTTATTTAAACTCAAACCTAAATCATTGTCTTTATTGTTGATAAGTAATGTCACTTTTGCTTTTTCAAGTTCATTCTGAACTTTGTGAAGACGGTCTTCTACTCGTCCAAGACTGGTAACTAAATTACTAATCTCTTTCTTTTGATCTCCAGATAAATGAGGACCATTTTTTGGACTCTTTTCTTCAATGTCATCTAACTTTGATTCAACTTCTTTACAAAATTTTGAAATATCTAACCATATGGTCCATGAAGAATCTTCTAGTTTATCTTTTATATCTATGACTTTTTTCCTGCCATCATGGAGTGAAAGATTATCCAAATTTGATAACCTAAAGCTTCTACGTCGTTCAGGCCTGCTTTTTTCTTCAGAATATTTGGAAGAATTTTCCTAAAAAAGACGATTCAAAATGGATAAATGTCAAGATAATGAAATACATTTTTAAACAAAATATTTTTTACAAATGAATCCATTTTTTGTCAAATTTCAATACCCTGTTGTTACTACAATTGAAAAATATGCTATATGCATAAAAAACAAAATAACATCATAAAAATGAAAATCATTAAAATAATTTAGAAATTTCAAACATTTGAAAATATGAAAAAAGAGGCAGAACTACTCAGCTATACAGAAATAGCATAGCTAGTTATTCAGAAACAAAACTTAAAAATTTTATTGATGAAAGAAAAGAAATATTAATTCTCAAAAAGCTAGTTATTAGACACAAAAATTTAATTTTACTGATGAAAAGGAAAATTAATTTTCAAAATTTAGCCATAAGTATATTTAAAACATTTATTGATACATGTTTGCTGTTGAAGCTTATTTGATATTTCAGTGCAACAATGAATGTATCATCTGCAAAAGTAAATAACTTTAATATATTATGAATTGCTTCATACTTTAGAGTTCCTTTTTTCCTTAGTATTCACAACAGCAGAATTTGGAAGACTTGAACTTGAATGATCAGTGGTCCCATCATCACTGTCTGCCAAATAATTATGATCTGACTCATTGATTTCGGTTGAACGGAATCTAGAACATCTTGTACGAGAGTTGGAACGTGTTTTGGCTCTTTCTTTAACTCTAGAAATGGCTGTACGAGCAAGAGGAGGTGAAGGAGGCAATGCCATTGATTTAGGACCTCTATTATCAGGATATTCATCTTCAACAATTGTTTTAGAACTTGAACTGGAACAACTTTTTTCAGAATCTAAACTTGAAACAGAACTATCAGGAAAAATTAAATTGGAAGTATTTTCTTTTGGAATATCGATTGATTTCAAGTCCACATCTTGTTTCTTTTTTGGAGTATTGTCATCACATGAAATTGACTTCAGATTTGCTGCTTGAAGTATAGCCCGGATCCAATTGTTTCGAATTTTTGCTGTGACTGCTGACAGATACAGTTTTGAGAAATCTTTCATCTAATTAGAGAAATAAAATTACATCAGTACATCAAATTATTAAAAAATATATTTGTAAAATGTAACTTTTCATACATATGTGTGAATGCGTATGTATGTATATGTATATAAACACATTAATTACTCCTCTCAAATAAGATATTTCGCATATATTCAGCAAAATTCACACACACACATATTAGAATTTAATTTATTTAGTTCCAATTTGTAAGATTTAGGAGATTCCCAAAGTTTGTCTCATTAATCAAATTATTATAACATAAACTGCTAATGTTAAACATAAAAAAGTTTTCCAAACTTTTATTTCAAATTCAGAAATTTTTTTATTAACTCTATGAGTAGCATAGCTTTTTCAGATCTACTCATGATAACATGCATTTAGCTAAATTTTTACAATTACTTATTTTACTCTCTGTTTTCATAAATTTCCTCTCATTTAAATATTATTGTTTTAGAAAGTAAGAAAGAAAAATATTTTAAATTACAGTTTAATATATATCAAGTGACAAAAAATTTCATGACCAGATAAAGGCAGTCATACCACTCAGGGGGTTAAACATGGAACTCAGAATAAAAACCTTCATTCACCAAAAAATTTTAATTTTTAAATTTAACATATTAAATTTAAGCTATATTTTCCTGTTTTTCATAACATCTCAACAAAACTTTACAATGATATGAAATAATATATCAGTGGTCTCAAAAATTACCTTTCTGATAAACAATTTACCAAACCAAATATGTTTTAAATAACAAACTACAGAAGTGATCTTGTATCCAGGTCTGGTTGCAATTAATTAAGGCAAAACTGTCAAAGGCAGTCTTTTTAGGTATATGAGATGGCACTTTATAAGATTTTCTAATGGATTGTGGTTTTATTTGCATTAGACATATTGAAAATCAATGGATAGTTTATGCAGCCAACTTGTTTGACCTCTGATATTCAAATGCAAGATACATGTTTGAATGTTCCATAGTCTTAGCCACAATGTCACTGGTGGATCACAATTGAAGTTACAGACAGGAAAAATAACAGCATAATTTGTATTAACTGATGCAGTTTAACTCCAAAATCCCATTGTACTACCAAAGAGAATTATAATTATCTGTCAGATAATTTAATGTTACAGATACATCTTGATTTAATTCCACTGCTGACCCATGGTGCATAAAATATGAACATTTTTCTTGGAATTATCCTTTCACACATCCTTATAAATAGACATATCAATAGCAAGAAAAAAAAAACTATTATCAGTATATTTTTCACAGATTTTATAAAACCTGCCAACTTCATTTTTTTATGTAATTTAAAATATTTTTTCAAAGCACTTTATGATTAATCATAAAAAATAACAAAGGTAGAGCATTTTAGTAGCTTACTGTGAAATAACATGTTTGAATTAAATGTTGTGAAAATGCAGCATTGACATAAAATTTTGTAAAACGTTTAGTCATGTGGTTATGGCAAAGCCTCAAGGGTTGTCTGCCTAAGGAGACGGATGCCCTTTATGGAGGACCTTTTTATGGGAAACTGGCTCGTATACACATATAATATACATACACATATAAACTGGCACATGGGGAAAACCATGAAAATGCCCATGCAGCAAGCCTATTCGTGGGATTTGAACCTCAGACCGAACATATTCTTATGTCACAAGTACACATTACTGCAGATGTTGAAGGGAAGGAATTTTCATATCACTTTTTAAATGAAAAATCCTCAGCAACAATATACTGAGCAGTAATGCAGCTTACCTAAAAACACAGCTGAAGAGCCAAATACATGTTCAAAATAATAACCTGGGGGAAAAGAGAGAAAAGTCTTCAGTTGGGGAGGATTCATGAAGAATTTCCAGATTTGAAAATGTTTTTACCATCATTTTCACTTAATATATCCAGTATATAGCTGAACAGGGATCAATTGGATAAGGCTGATAAACACTGGTAATTTGAGCCAGATTCAAATTCCAGCAAAAAAGAAAGAATGTTTGTTTTATGGCTTTTCCCATACATAAAGTTAATATGAACCAGTTTGCCTTGGGAATTTTCCACATAACAACATCTCCTTAAGCAGCTAGCCCTTTTGTGCTTTTACTGTACTCAAATGAACAAACTATTAACTAAAACTATAGATCACAAAGATTTCTCAAATTAAAATATATCAAAACAAATTACATAACCTTTTTGTCAAATTGAACATTTATACAGTTATTTAAACATACAGTTGAAAGGTCTAAAAAATATGCTCCCAGAAACAAGATTTGAATTTTCACTTTGAGTAACTCTTCAAACAAATTATGGAACAATTAAAACTGCCTATAATTCCACACTGAACATTGATAATTGATATGATAAGCACATTGTGCTGGTCTTGTTATTTTTGGTGCCTGCTCAAAATAAAAATTCAAAGGATTAGTATTAGCTATTATTCATATATAAAAGATGTAATCTCTATAGAGCTGCAATTTACCCTAAAATTATGCTTGTAGGATTTCAAATTGACCATATTCCTTTTTGAATCATATACCTTTTAGAGTTACTTTAGAAATGGAAATTCACACTGCAGAATGAAGATACGGGCATCTCCTAACACACAAATGCAAATTCTTTATCTCCTAAATATTCTTAAATCTCCTAACATACAAATGCTATTAAAACTACTAAATTAGACATAGGATTGAGGAAAGGCTTGAAATTAAAAGGAGGATATGCATGCACTGCAGTATTCATACAATAATCAATAGGTATATACAGCAAATATAAAGTTTACAGACATGCAAAATGTTTTTACAAAAATGAATCTACACAACGAATTGTGCAAATGTTGCATTTATTGCAAAATGCATATTCTGAAGCTTAAAAATTTCATTTATATTTTATGCTAATATATGTATTTGTATGTATTGTAATGTATGTATATATGTAACTTCTGTTTGAATACTGAAAAAAAAAAAAAAAAAAAAAAAAAAAAAAACAGAGAATCAGTTTCATGTTGATTCTTCATTTACATCTACTTTGGTAGAGAAGTGTTTTCAGTAAGCAGTTAAAAGAAACCTGATATATTATAGAATGGTAAGCAAATGTATTAGAATAAATTAATGAATACATGCAGGTATTTCAAATGTAATTACACTATATATAGTTCACTCTCTATTTTGCATAATAATTTAAAACAGGCCTTCAGTATTAGATGAGGATACATACTAGTGAAATAGGAGCAATATTAATTATAGTCATTTCAACATATGCTACATTTTATGTACAAAAGGTTTGCTTTTTACCATATTTCTATTGAAACATTTAATCTGAATATTGGAATAATTTACACTTATATTCCATTTTTGCAAAATTATGAATGAAATAATCATTTTTTAGAAAAATCATACATGAAGTAATATTTTTTTTCACATAATTACTTATTTTGGGGTTCTGTGAATAGAAACACATCTATATCTAATGATTAGAAAGTAAAACTTCTAAGAAATGTTAGCTAATAGTTAAAAACTGTTCACCAAGTACAAAGAGAAATGTACGATACAGAAAAAAAGAAGCCGGTGATTTCCAAACCCAAAAAGGAATTTAAATTTTCTTCAGTTAGATATTCTAAATATTCTATTCACTACAAAATATAGTACAGCTCATTTTCAGATATTTTTGTTTTGAAGAGAAAAACAGATTTTAATACAATAAACTGAGAATAAATATTGTTATTATTTTTAATTAAAAATAATGGCCATTAACAAAAGTCTGTAACGGTTATTAAGCTAAAAAAAGAGTTGAAATACTTGAAACAAATTACATGAAACTTGGTTCCTGCTCAAGGTCTATGAAAATCCAATAAATAATTAATTGTCTTTACAAACCGCATCACAAAATAACTAATAGCTACAAACATTTAAAACAAGCAAAAGAATTAAGTTTCTGAAATTAAAATAAAACTCCAAACATACTAAAAATATGATGCAGAAAGAAAAGTTGTATAAATTTTAAATTTCTACAGAGTGTACTAATTTTTCAAATATAATATTTACTTTTTTCTTCAGAATAAATTACTATTTTACTTAACTTAGATGGCAATTTTTTTTTAAATTGATTCACAAAACACACACTAAAAATGTAAAATTTTGCTCCTGTTTGAAAATTTCTGCACATTTATATGCAATAAACCAGCGGTTCTCAACCTTTTGACTAACACGTACCATCTAAACAAAAACTGAAAACCTTTTTACCAGCACTACAAAGTACTACTATCACCACCACTCTTGAACAAAGCTTAGGTCGCATAAATTTACGAGTGTTAGAGAAAAAACTCAGTCAGGCTGTTGGGGTTTTAATTTTTGAATTTAATAGTGCGGTAACTGTAACTAAGATTATGTAAGAGCACCATCTAGATTAGGGTGTGGTCAGACCAGATGAGATATGAATGATAGTGAGGACAGACGTGTCCAAAATGTTTTGACGATAATTCTTTTTACTTTCCATTATAATGTAAGTAAATAAATCCTAGTTTAACTTCATGAGTTGTAGTTATGCTTATCATCAATCCTTCCCAATAATAGCTAAAAATACTTTGCATCTTTGTGTACCACCTATTTTTCTCTTGCGTATCACCGGTTGAGAACTCCTGCAATAAACATTATAACTGCCAGCTCCAGAAAAGGATAATGAATAATATGACAACAAACATGAGTATAATTATTATGAAATGTCATTAAGGTTATAAAAATTATTTTCTTGAACTCATTGAGTAAGCAAATCTAATTATAAAATGTCAGGTTTAAAACAAATAAAATGACATATTACAAAGTCATCACCAATAGTTTCCCATTTTCTCTAATTGCAGTAATCAGTCAATTTGCAGTAAATGCAGATTCAATAACCTAATCTTTCAAATAAAGAAAGATACTATATTTCTATAATATTTATCCTATAAAAACCCTTTTCAATTTTTTTAAAACTATTATAATTTCTCACCCAATACTGAACTTACCAAAACACAAAATGTGTGCCCACTACTGCTTTGGACTTCAGAAACACTTTTAACCTTCCTGAGATCTACTACACCATCCAAAATGCCAGCATCTTCAGCTATAGGATCACTGTAGAATGTGAGTGCAGAATTTCTGAGAACAAACCAGTACTTATTCCATTTGCAATCATCTTGCTTCACAAGCCAGCCTTTCTTCAAGAATACACTCTAAAATAAACTCTCATGTTAGAATTTGAATTTCAAAATAAAAGTTTAAAAGTCTTTACAGAAATAAATGAGCATAGCTTTAAAACTAACAAATAAAATCAGATATTTTATAAATAGAATAACATTAGATAAAATTACACCCTAAGAGCTTCCCTAAGTATAGACTACATATGTTTACATCACTAACTTGGAATTTAAAGGGGGTTAATTATTCATTCTTAAAGGGATTACTTATTCAATGCAATTATTTAATTACAGAACAACTTCAATATTCCAGATTCACTGTAAACATTGAGAAGACATACTGTCAAATTGAAATCAATCCTTCTCAGCTTCAAAGAATTTTGTGAAAGACAGCCATGAGTTCAGTATAGCAGAAATACTTATTTCTAGCGATATATCTAATGATTCTCATATAGATATTTTGTCAGAGAGTGCTCAGTGAGTGTCTGCCTTCCAGTTCACGTGAGAAATTTTTTACTTTTCTTGATTTTTAAAATAAATTTACAAGTTTATTTATGTGTTTTATTAATTAAAGCTTTGGAATAATTTGAATAGCACTTCCAAAATTTATTTTTCAAAGTATGCAAATTTTTTTTTTTTTTTTGTAAATTCTCATGTAAAAGAAAAAGATTATTAAATGCTAAATCTAACACAATAATAGCTTAAGTAATAGTCTAAAATAGTACAAAAATCACGTCATTAGGACCTACATTGGGGGGGGGTGATCTTCCCTAAATTTAGACTTAGTAAACACAAAATCCCCAGCCTGTGGGCCGATACCTTTCGACTCCCATCCATCCTGAGACAATGTCTTAAACAAAGGCGAGCCATCTCAAAACAGCTCAGCTAAATATTGTAGTTGAGCAATATACTCAGAAAGAATTATATATATGTATGTATATAAGATAAGATAAATAAGATATACATAACATATATTATTTTAATCACAGAACTATTTATTAAACTGTTAAATCTAGGCATAGAAACCTCATCCAGGAAGTTCATAACACACCTCATTATTTTGATCTCCAACAAATTCAGCAGTTGATGTACAATATGATGGCAAAGAATCTAAATTGCAGCCATCTGGATCTCCCCGAATCTAAAAGCAAAAATGAAAAATACTATAATAACAAAAAAATAAAGATAAGTTCATGTTATAGTAAAAGATATTACTACTGAAGAAAATTAACATTTTTTGTGTATATCACAAACCTGACTTACACAAAAAAATTACCAAAACATCTTTAATTATAGTAAAAAATACAATGCTTATCCACATTAGAAGAGAACCATTCTTAAGAGTATTTGCCAATTAATGGTTAAACAGTAAAATGGAACACTGGTAGTTCAACCTTGATTTGATTCCATGTCAACAGATTGGCTGCATGGATATTTTCATTATTTTCCACATGCAAAAAAATGAGTATGTGTCAATTTTCTGTAGAAAGTCATCCATGAAGGCATCCCTCTCCTTAGGCAGGTAGCCCTTGTGTGCTTTGCCAAAATTAAAAAAAAAAAAAAAAAAAAAAAAAAAAAAAAAAAAAAAAAAACACTAAGCTTGACCATTCTGAATAACTTAAAGGAAGATCGCTCATATATATGTCAGACACAGGGAACACAACAAAAGTTTTATGCAACCAATCTATTGTGCTAAAAATCAAGTCTCAAATGAAACTACCTACTATTAAAAAATTAAAAAGTAAAATAGATAAAAATATCATAAAAGTTTTGCTTCTCTTCTAAAATGAAAATATCCATTGTTGTCAAGTACAAGCAGTATTGCAATCTATATGTTACTAAGCTTGGCATAAAACATTTTATTTATAATGCACATATAGTGTATATAAGAAAGCTTTGAAAATCAACCTACTGTAAATGTTAAAAAAACCTTTCAATTAATGACACGCATGATATAAATAGCAGTTGTTGCTAAATGCAGTACAAAAATATACATAAAATGAGTTAATGCAGACCTGTCCACTAGAGGGAGGATGCAATAAATTTAGATAAATTTTTAAATAAAAGAACACATGCTCATACTAACTGTTGATCACAGATAACCTATAGGCAGACTGCTACTGGGAATAAATATAGCAGTCATCAGTGAAAGGTGATATTAGGGCCATTCCTGGCAGATATGCAGCAAAACTTAGGTAAGCCAAATTTAGTCGGTATCCAGTAAAGAGGAAGTTATTTATACAAATACATTATCGAATGACTTTCCCCCCCCTTAAAAGGCAGTAAAAATGGCCTTTTTTAAAAATTAGTTAAGTCTCGAAAGGCTTCACTTAAAAAGGATAGGAAATAGGAATGCATTTCCAACCCCCCCTTTCAACAGGGATTGCAAGCCTTTTCCTTAGATAGCCTTTGTTAATTTTCAGGCAAGAGACAAGGGAATATAAAAGATTTTTTCCAAGCTAGCATTTTAATAATTCCGCTGTTGAGGGAACATAAAAGGGAATTTCTGAAGCTCTTTAGTTGTGAGTACAACTTAGCAGATGTGAATGTCATTGGACAAGTAGCAAGAAAAGTCATGGGACAATGAATCAAGTAATTCCTGCCTGAAGACTGCAAAGTGGTGAGCCGATATTTTGATCAGAGCCGTCTTTTGATACACCATAACTTTAACCTCTTTGCTTGCCGCAGTGAACTAAATGAGTAATCCTTTTGGGGGGGGGGAATTGTTTCTCTTGTTTTCAAAATTGATATTGTGAGTATAATATTTCAATTATTCAAATATGTATAATATTTCAAAATTGTATTTTATTTATTGTAAATAAATAAAATATCACAAGTGAGCAATATGTATTGCATATTCATATTTAGGAAAACACATTAAACAATTTTTCTATGTTATATGAATGAACAAAATAACTCTAATTCTGTAACTTAGGTGTTGTCATGCTAAGACAATATCACATTTGTGTTTAATTTATTCATTATTAGTGTTATTATTACATAGAAATGAATGAAAACACTAGAATAAAAGTTATCCAGAGCCCAATATAAAAAATGTACACAGAATTCCGAGAAAGCAGACTACATTATTATGAAGTTGCAATGTTTCTAACTACTTTAAATATGCTTGAGTTCATAGAAACCTAGTTGAACTATGTAGCGACTTATCACAGAGTCCAAGTGTATAAACGACAAAGTCCAAAGAAGGGCTAAACAACCTTTATTATCCCAAACTAAAAGTACAGTTTGCCCTTTTCTTGGGTTTACAGAAAAACTTCACTTGGGCTTCAAATCAAGATAAGAAAATAGCAAACTAATCTAATGCTAAACTAAACTGAACTTAGATGAAGCTGTACAAAATTATCTAACGTAGTTGGCCTTTAAATTAAATGAATCGATAAATATCAGCAGGCATGTTCAATATGGCCGAGTTCAGTTAGCTTAAAACAATGAAGCAGCTTGATGGCAAACAAAGAACTTCTAAGCTCTTCAAGTAAGCAAAACTTCGCTTAAATACTCTTCTACCTCATTTACATGCAAAGCGATACTAAGAACTTATTCTGGTAGGGCGTTGTAAGTGGGAAACTAGAGTATAAAAAAATAGGTTTCAAAATTAAAAATTATTAGAAAATTAAAATAATCTTTACAAAGTAAAATCACAAATGCTTAAGCTATATGAAGTGAAATGAAAAAAAAAATAAATAAATAAAAAACATTTTTAATACACCAGAATTGAAAATTCTATGTATTAAATAGCAATAAAAATTTTAAATGTATAAAAAAAGGTAAGCTTTTAAATACCTGATTTTATAAAAAAATACATATTTAACATACATAAAACATGCATTAATTATACATAAAGCTATCAAGCAAAAAATGATAACCAGAAATGGAAAATTCTCAGACAACTCACTTGACTTAAAGTAGACTTTGACTGGCTTTTACTGTCAGTTGAATATTTGTCCTGTAAGGACTTACTAGTTCCATTCATAAAAATTTTATTGTCTTCTCTCAATACTGCATTTGGAACAGAGGCTGACTTGTGAATTGTTCTATTCTTAAGTTCCTCATCTTTTTCTTCAGACCATAATATCTGGTTTTGCAAATCACCTTAAAAATAACATAAATTATGTAACATGATTAACAGGATGCTGTAAATCTTTGAATATCATTATATAATTTTAAGCTTTAAATGAACAACTTGTTTGAATTTCATGCATTTTTAACATTCATGTCATGAAACAAACAAATCCCATAAATTAAGAAGGGGATAAAAAAAGGTTCTAGAGAACTGTAACATATAATAAAATTTAATGATTATTATTGCTTTGAGTAAACAAGCTACTGAGTTCTCTTGGTAAAATAAGAAATAAAGTAAGTCATTAAAGCAAGTCGAACTAAAATACAAGCAATTCAATTTTTATATTTAAAATACATTTTGCTGTTTTTTGAAATTAAAAAAAAAATTTCTTGAATAAAAATCAAATTTAAACAAAAAAGAATCTTAAAAAATCTTTAAAAATAAGAACAACTAAAAAAATGGGCTAAATACCATATTTACTTGCACACACACCTCACCTTTTTAGCGCGAGGCTCTGAAAATTTTTAAATGTTCATTAAGACATTCAGAAAACAGGGTTTGTAGCCACATTTTAGTTAAAAAAATAAGCACCTATAAGCACTTTTCAAAGCACGTTTTAGGGAAAAAAATAAGCACCTGTCTAATTACATTATACACAACTGCATGATCTTAAAAGAAAAATTAGACTTGTAATTTAAAATATGAGAAATTCAGTATTTAATTAAGAGAGAATGAGCATTACTCAATCATGGAAAACAATTACATTCTTTTTTTTTTAAATTTTAAATAACAGTTCAATTCCCAGAACTAGTTTACAAGGAGAGAAAAAAAAAATACGCAGAACTAAATCATATTACAAGATTTAATGATGAAATTTCTGTTCAAAATAGAGAAAATAAATAAAAATAAATCTATATTTGTTTGGCACCTAAAATAAATACAATTTATTTTCCAATCTTATTAATATTTAAATGACTTAAATCAAAATTCTGAACATTTTATAAAATTTTCATTGTATAACAGTTTTCCTTTAACAGATATTGCAGGCAAAATAATTTAAGTAAAAATAAGTAAAAAAATGAGCTTTTTTGAAATCAGAAGATGGGAAATTTCTTCATTCAGTCATCCTTTAACAGTAAAAGCTTAACTAACTGGCATACTCGGAAATTTCCGAATATCTGAAAATTCCAGATAGTCGAGCGCAACCAGTAAAAGTGGAAAGGGGGGGTAGGTTGTAGCCATTCTTTAGATTTTTCAGCTAAATAATGCTCTTGACATTTCGATATGTGCATTATATAAAAAATGGTCCAATGGAACTGAAAATTAATCTGCTTAGCAAGCACAGTAAGACTCTTATCTCTGTGAAATATCGCAAACGTTATTGCACAATACGTGCGCTTTAATTCTCCCGCACATGATATTACATAATTGGAATCAACAGCTGCCGGTATTCGGAGAATAAATAAATAAAGGAAAATGCCCTTTTGCTTCGTCCGGTTTTCACTGTCATGAGCCCATGTGGCATATTTGCCGTACTCATATTGATTAATAAAGAGATTTACCAATGTGGGGTGCTTGTCATTCTAATTTTGAAGCGTTAAATTTACGGAATAGAATCATTCTTCGCTTGGGTTGGTACACCGCAGAACTTTTAGTCCTATTCAATCCAGATGGGAAAGTGACCAAAAAAAAAAGTCTGTTGCTTTCTTTGCTGCAAACTGTAACAGTTTCAATATTTGAGATTTTGCAGAGAAAGGGGAGAACCCCCAACTTCCGTACTGTATAATGCAATGGAAAAAAAAAAAAAAAATTGACTATTCGATTACTTTCACTTTATTTATGCCATTCCGAATATTATTCCTTTGAAAACTAATTTGTGTTAAAACACACTTACCCATTTTTGAAGTTTATCTATACTTCAGCAGTTACTGCAAATATAAATACTCATACATATGTTCATAACTAGAACGCCCGGCGGTCATACAAAATGACCGCTGTTCTAGATATTATAAATTGTAATTAAAATGATTTGTACAAAGATGTCTGCTAATTTAAACTGAATTACCCAGGGCAGGTGGCGAGGACACCCCTTTGCTTACTGCCTCACGGGGTTTCCCCCTTCTACGTGCTTAAAGTAGAGTGCAATGAAGGAAGCCACTGGCGGTATATTTCTTAAGAGCCACCGCTAGCTCATTCAAAAAAGGTGATTTATATAATGAAATGTTAATTCACATGTCAAAGATCTCTTTGTACACACTCTTTGTGATCTTGTGTAGATCTTTCCATAATTTTTAAACTCGCCTTGCAGAAGACCATCCATTATTTTTAATTTTACATCCGTTCTTTCATGAACTCTTGAACAGGCAACATAAAGTTGACCGTGTTCAAATGCAGGCTCAGGTAAAAAAATGCCAACATGCTTAAGTGTTTGGCCCTGAGACTTATGGATGGTCATAGCAAAGACAAGTTTTACAGGAAATTTTCTACATCTCAATCGAAACGGCAAACCTGTGCCGTGGCAACTTCACCCCATTGGCTAGTACAGTTACGCAAGCAAACAATAAACTATCGGCGACAAACAAACACTTAAGCCGCATATATATATATTAATATATATATAGGGTGAAGTAACATCATCTCCTCCAAAACGGCTGGCTCCCGGGCTTAGCGAAGCACACCGTTGGATTCCGCAGGTTCGTGGCACACCATTTTGACCATTTGCGTCTTCTTGGGACTTTAATTAGTTGAGATATTAATTAAAAACTAATTTTCCCCTACGTTTTTCCTACATTTTCCACATTCTTTCTTAAGTTTTCCCTATAACAGGGATTCGTCTACGTGCCAAATTCTTTTTTCTTGAATATCTATGGAACGGCACCGAGTTGAAATTCGAGACGCATATCCTTGGATTCCAAAAAATTCTCCGAATCCACCGATACCATTCTCATCTTTGTATGACTTTAATCGGCCAAGATATTAATTAAAAACTGCAGAAACGTTAATTTCCGAGCTCATTATTCCGAGTGGCAACAATAAACTATCAGCGACACACACTTTAGCCGCTTATATATATAAAGATATAAGCATACCGATCATAATAAACGCAAATATGAACTCACCACGTGGAACTAGAATGTAAATTACAGTCAAAAGTCGTTAATTCGGACACCCATAATTCGGAATGATCTATAATCCGGACCTCAAAACTAAAAACCTTCTGCGCATGCGCCGCGTTGACACATGCGCATAGGTGTTTACGCGTGCGCGTAAGACCTTTTACGACTGCGCATATGAGTGTGCGCAAGTGCAGAATATGTTTTCGCATGCGCGTTTTATGTATAATGGATGTATAAGCTAAAAATTATCTAATATCATTTCAGTTAATGTTGATGATTGCGTTGTTCCTTAATTTTCGAATTGGATCCGGCTTTATTTTTTGCAGACTGTAAAGAGCAATTTTATAAAAGTAAGCTTAAACTTCGATTATATCAAATAGAATTTCCGATATATATTTGTTAATACGTAAAGGATCTAAAGCGAAAGTATGTTTTGAAATCCGAAATCTGTTTATCAATTTCATGCTGCTCGGCGGGGGGAACGCCATAATGAATTGGAAGTTGATCTGTCAGCACTATCCTTATCTTCAGGGCAGATGCTTTTATTTTATTTGGCTTACAATTCCTTACCAAATTAGTATTTCATCTCGATGTGCTCTGTCTTTGATATGATTTAAAACAATCCTCGTCCTTATAATTCGCTTAAGCAAAGAAAGTGACAGAGGTTAGTGAAAACGAAAAAATTTCGATTGACAAATTAGTCAGTGTTCTCGACACAGCAATTATAGGACTTGAACAGCGGAACTTTGTAACTGAACAAGAAATTATGTCTGTTTAATAGAATTAAAGAGAAGTATTATCACATGAAACGAAGCAAAGCTTAAACAACTTACATTGAAAGAAATGTTAATAAAGTAAACCAAATAAATATTAAGCTTTTTCTTTTTGCAAATTTGATACCCTTTAGATCATAATTGTTCTTTATTTCATAAATTAAGGTTTCATATTTTTAATTTTAGACTTTCTGCATGCCATCTTAAGAGATTTAAACTGATGATCTATAATCCGGAAAAATCGATAATCTGGAATCGCCGAAGTCCCGACAAGTCCGAATTAACGACTTTTGACTGTATTAAAATCTCGATAGAAATTCAAATGTGTGTAGTATTGGGTGGGAGCAAAAGAATACAGAATGTACCGGAATTTTCTACCGCTTTCGCAATTCTTTGCCATAGGGCGAATGCAGTTGTTATGCAGAGAAAGGGGAGAACGCTATTTCTGGGATTATGATTCACCATCTGACGTTTCATATAAGTAAGAAAAGTTGTTTATTTAGTTTCAGTTTTGGTCCGGAAGGAAAAAATTCACGTTCGTAAAAAAAAAAAAAGTGCTTTAGAGAAAAAATAAGCACCTATAAGGGTTTTTATACTTTATTTTCAAATATAAGTACTTATAAGCACTTGCAAGGACCGCTACGAGCCCTGGAAAACAAGCTGCCATGAATTTTAAAATGAATTCATCCATATAGTGGTTGCTTTCATCTCACTAAACTTTGTTGATATTGAGTGCATGTGCTCCGAGTTTCAAGAAAACAAGGATATCTAATGCTTTAGATGTTGCTGAAAATTACTGCATGAGAGAAAACAGAGAGAACAATACTGAAGATGATAACAGTGATGATGGCAATGGCTTGCAAGCTGTAACAGATGGCAAGTTCCAGGAGCACTAAATGATTTGAGACCTGGGCAATAAGCTATCAATAACAATAAGAGCAGGAGAAATTCAAGACATAGGGAAGTAGAAACGAAGATATCTCATTACAAATTGTAATATAAATGTTGCTACATATTTTTTATTGCATGGTAGGTTCTTTTTAAATAAATAATATAGTCATAGTTACTCATAGTTTATCCATGAATATTATTAATGTCTTATATTCTTGCACTCACCACGTCCAGACTACTGGCATAATTTTCCTCTCTCAATTTTTATACGACGAAGTTTTTAAAAAAGGAAGGGGCTGCATGAGTAAATACGGTAACAAAACTTCAGAATAAATATTTTTGCATTTTGTTGCCTACTTTTTTTTAAAATGTTATTTTAGATCTCCAGATTGTTATCAATCAAGCACACAAAACAAAACTTTGATATTTCAGTAATAACATTAAAATCTAAGAAATCAAAATACTTTTCTTTCCAAAACTAGATTGGCGTCTTAAATATCTTGGTTTCTCTCGACTAAAAAAGTTTTCATAAGAATCGATTTTCTTCCCTGATGGTACATCTGACATCAAAAGATAGACAGGATTGTGAAAACTTTTCCCAATACATTCAGGATTGTTAAGTTCTAGAGAAACTTTTTTCCAGTCTGGCTTTACAATCAGTTTGTCCTCAATGACAGAAGGTATCATTTTTGTAACATCAGAGCGACTGTGGGGTTTTCTCAGATCTTTAGATTCTTGCTTTAAATACTTCTTAATGTCCTCTGATTTTGTATTCCCCTTTTCCTGCAGTGAATTTCTACAGAAAAGAAAAAAAAATATATAATTAGTAGTTGTTTATATTATCCTAATAAAATATACTTTGGATAAATAAAAAATATATATTATACTAAAGTACCACAGTACAGAATACCATCAGTTATACCACAGTACAGAAAATGCATTATATTAATTATCAGTAAATTAAATATAGCATTATACCGTTTAAAAAGTGTATTTCAAGCATTAAACGTATATATTAATTATCAGTAAATTAGATAGAGCATTATAAAATTTAAAAAGTGTATTTCAAGCATTAAATATATATATATTAGATATTGTATATATATGTGTGTGAGAGAGAGAGAATTTCAATTACACGATGTACACTGTAGAGTACTAATGCTGCTCTTTAATGACTCATTAAAGGAGTCAAATATTACTTAAAACAACAAAACCTGAGCTTTAACTTCTAATTTTCAATAATGCTTCAAAACATAGTGTGGAAGTCCTCATAACATTGCATTCAAATGTAAAGGTTCATTTCCTTAATATAACCAAATGGATTAAGGAATTGTAAGTTTACATCTCTGCAAATAAAACACATGACAAAGAAAAGCACAGCATACTAATGTCATTTTGAAAGCAAGTCAACATAAGACACTACATAGAAATAATCAAACTCATATGGGAACAAGCACATTAATCAATAATGAATGCTTTCTGGCATCAGCTCTGATCGGAAGTTGTCAACAATTTTTGAAGGATTTCCATCGACTGCAAAATAAAACCAAGATAATTGTATAAGTTGCAAAAGCAAAAGGTGGCGTAGGATTTTCAGACATCCAGGAGAAGGATAAATTAAAGAATTAGTTGAGAATTATGATTGTTAAATCACAAATGAAGAATTGGATAATCTTATAACACCAGCCAATAGTGATATAGCAGCAATAGTGAAGAAGACAAAGAGGCTTTAACATACAAGAAGTTAAATTAATTGTTAGGAAAGACAGCATTCATTTCATTTTCCCCTTTAAATTACAAAAATATTTTGGTTTTTATAAATTATGCATACTTTCTTAATCTGAACTCTACCTAATCCATTCTTTCCAGAAAAAAATAAACTTTGCAGAACACAAGTTTGCTGTATACGGCATTTGTTAAAGACGTAACTGCACATTCGTTAAGGAATATTAATTGTATAAGGAATACCTTATTGTATCTAATTTCTAATACAATGCACATTCTGTACTGTGATACAACTTCAGAATGCACAGTTATTTAAATTTGATGAAGAAAGAATAGGTTTGTTTACTTTCCAGATTATAACTTAAAATATTCCATTAATTTATAGAAATTAACATGGGATGTTATAAATACTTAGACATATAAAAAGTTAAAATTCAAAGCACTTTTTTACTTTGATCATTTTACTTGCATCTGGCATTAAAAATAAGTTGAGGAATATGTATAAAACAGAAATTTATCATACATTAATAAATGAAAATATCATGTCATATTATTCCTGTGATGCATGTCTGGATTTATGCTAACTTAAAAGTTCTAAATGACAGTTTACATTATTTGGTACTAAAAGTGCAAGTTATTTACATAACTTTTTTATATGAAAAGTAATTTATCTGAATGATAAATTCCATACTGGTATGTCATATTTATCTTAACTAAAGTTATTTATTCATTTATTTAGAATTTAAATACAGTAATTAACTGTGGTCTCATTTTTAATTTTTATATCACGTCAACTTGTTTCAAACATAATAAAGAAATTAAAAATACACAATTCATGTTCAAGGTAGTAAATCGATGTTATCTCGGGACAACAGCAATATCACACCTCTAGCAAGCAGTGGAACATAACCAAAGTTCTAAAAAATATGACTTCTTTATGGCAGTAATAATAATTTTAACAAATGATACTAATTAATAACAATAATAAATTTATTAATAAATAAAGGAACTTGGAAAATAAAATTCATCCAGATTACCATAACAAGCTGTTAAAAAAAATCAGTAAAAAATTTTCAAAATCCCACATTTTACCAATTTTATTTAAATTTGGTCACAGGAATTGATGAATTATTATGCATTAAAATCTTACACCTGACAGATTTCTGTAGAAGTTAAGTATTTAATTCTTCCTTTGCTCAATATAATATAAAATTAAATTATATATTTTCAATATTTAAAGAAAGGCTTATTGTTCTGTATTTTAATATTTTCATGCATATGTTATGGTTAAACACTGAAATCTGGAGAATGTCGGCTTTCACCGGTGAATGTCAACATTCACGTAGTCGTTTGGTGTATGTCCGAAATATTTTCCAAATACTCTTATTTCTGACTTAATCGATAAATGTCGACATTCACCATTTACTAATGGTGAATGTTGAATATATAAGAATATTATATTTTCTTCTCCATCATTCAGTCGCGAAAAAACGCATTTGAGACTTAAAATAAGAACTTAAGAACATAAGAACTTGAAACACACAGTACATTTAAAATGAGAAAGGAAAATAATAGAAGTTATAAACTTACCAAATTATGTGATTCAAATCTTATTTATTGCAACAACTTAAATTATTATGACACTTTGAATTGCACAAGAGGCCCTTGCTTTTACAACTGCATTTATTGTGGAACATTTCTTTTGCAATGACAGCGTGTACATATATTCCTCTCTTTTTGACCTACACCCCAGAGCATATCTGTGATTGTCGACATACACCGGTGAGTGTCCGAATGTACAAGAATGTGATGAAATATTCGATCTTTCACCGACGTATTTGGTGAATGTTGACATTCTCCGGTGAAAGTCGACATTCTCCAATTTTGGTCTTTCACAGTAACACATACACTTAATTCATTAAAAGCCTTTAATGCTCTTAAATCATATGTAAGGAAGTCTTGTTATTTGCACACACCTATTTTAACTTAAAAGTAAGAAATTTATTATTTAAGATAACGGCTTCATATATGCAGAATAATGAAATTAAATTACTTTACTGAAAAAACATGTTTATTTAATTGAAATAAAATATATTTATTCAAAAAATCTTAAAGACTGGTACAAGGAAATGCTTTTTATATTAGATATTAAGAAATAAAAACAGTCTGAATAAAAGTGATTTATTTAATTTCTTTAGTTTTCAATAAATGATATATTATTGAACACACTGAGGTAAAATTAACATAGACTTGTACTTACATATACACATATAAGAGAAATTAATTTGCATTTTAAATCAGGCAAAATTAAATTACTCTAATATGAAAAGAATAATGTAAATTTCAACTAACCTCGTAGAAGTAGTTTCACTTTGAACTGACGATGTTTCTTCCTTTTTTTTATCTAAATGTAAACAAAACAACACATTATGAAATATTCTGAGAAAATGAGAAGATATCTGAACATTCAAAGTTTTTTTAAAGCTTAAAATCAGCATACAGTTTCAATATATATATTAAAACATTTAATCTATTACTGAATGGTTGAAACAGAGTTGCTTGCAAAGTTTCTTAATACGGACATTTCACATTATTTTCCACTATTATATGTACAAATTTTTAAAAAGTATACATTCAATTATTAAATTTACTATAAAATGAGATTTTTAAAAATCTACACATAAACATACATGCAGATTTTAAAGCACAAACCTATATTTTATGAATTTTAAAACCAACAGGCCTCAAGGTTGAAGTAATGCTTCTATATTTATTAACATCATATGGGTAATTACAAGCTACTAAAATTTTCATGATTTAATGAAGCTCACTTGAAATAATGTATTTTGAAAAATGCCTGATTTTCACAATCAATACTAACTTCTTGTTATTACATTTAAGAATGTAATATGAAGCATTTTTCCATATAATAATTTCTCACATTTTCAATAGATAAATTTTCTAACATGGCATCAAGTGAGCAAATTAATTTATGATGATGATCATCATCATCATAAAAAACTGCAATGCATACAAGAATAATATTTTTAAGATCAAGCATTAAAACTGAAATACTAATATTTGGAGTTTTCGAAATTCTTAGCTTTCTACTGAGAAACACAGGCACAAAACCTTTTTAAGAAATTTTTAGCTTTTTAATTTCTAGTAAATGAGAATCATCATTATATAATTATAACAATATTTAAATACATATAGTCACAAAATGACTGAAAATCATTGTTTTACAATTATAAAGAAATTAAAACAAACTGGATAAAACTAATCTATGCAATATACTTTATATTTACCACTCTCAGTTCCAAATGAAGAAATATCACACCCTTAAATAATAATTACTATTCAATATTCTTGAGCAAATATTAATTACCTTGCATATTTTCAAGATGTTTAACTTTAGAGCAAGTACTTGTGTCTTTTGTTGGAAAAACATCATCATCTGGATCAAAGTGCACACTAGAATTCTGATTCCTATTATTCCGATTTAAGCTGTTGACATAGCCGTTATGTTTTGAGTAATTAGATATTTCAACAGTATCTCTTCTGTTAGATATATTAGTGGAGGCCTAAAAACCAGATTTAGAAGTTCAAGTAACAAATAATTAATATACATAAGACATTAATAACAAGTAACAACTAATTAATATACATAAGACATTAATAACAAGTAATAAATAATTGATATACATAAGACATTAATAACAAGTAACAAATAATTAATATATAAATAATTTATATAAGATGTAGCATTTTATGCTAAATGTACACATACAGTAAATTATTTCATAAATAAGAAGAAAGTTTACAAAATATACACTAAATATCCTGAACAAATGATACACCTACATTTATTTTAAAATTTCACAAAATTAAATCATAAGGGAATTTGGCTTAGACATTAAACAGAAACCAAAATGGCAAATATTACATGAAATTAAAAAATAAATAAATAAATAAATAATAAAATAAAATAAAATAAAAAAAAAAAAAATGCATAACTTACACTATCCAATTTGGGTACAGTTGTTGATTTAATACAGGGAAATGTAGCGTTTCTTTTGTACTTTCCACAAACTGTATTTCGTGGAAATTTTGACAAGACTTCAAACCACCTAAAAATTAAGAAATACTATATGTGATACACCTATAAGATATCCACATAAACGGAAAAATCCAACAATTTACAGTGTGATATAAAAACACAAAATGAATAATGCATCATCATATCTGTCTACCAGTCTCACACAAAATCCAAAACCCTATTGGGTACAAAAATACAAAAATGGAATAAAATGCTCTACAGGGACTTCCAACTTTTCATTATACTGTAATCAATAAATCAAACTTGCAAAGTGTAATAAATCAAGTAAATAACTTGGTTACAAATCAAGTGCTCAATCATGACGGTATTAAATTAAAATATACTTATGATTATATGAAACAACTTTTAGATAATTTCCAAGACAAATAAATAAAAATCCCTATAAGATCAAATGCTGCACAAGTCTATCTTTATACATTATTAATATTCATTTACCAATAGTATTTTGAACTGGCTTCAAATCTGCATTCAGTAAAAAAGAAACATAGAACTGCTTCATCAGAAATGCACTGACATTGATTGATTGAAACAAAATATAAATGCAAATGATGAATGCACCTGAACTTCAGAGGAAAGAATAATGTTTGGAAATCTATCAGCTACCAATATAATTCATATAAATTGAGTGATGCTATCATTTAATTGATGCTGATCAATAGAATTTATGATTATAAACACCTTTCCTTATATTTACAATATAATATATGATTCTTCATTCTGTCTTTTTATTCTAATTTATTTTACATTAGATTAATTTTTTCCCATCAATTTAAATAGATAAAGAATATTATTTCTTAAAAATCAATATCATTATTTCTTAATGAATATGGGAGAAGTGTTGGAATGATTTTTTAAATATTACATAGTGTTCTGATTAACTGCCAAGATGACATGAAAAATGAAATTAGCTAAAATTATTTTACCTGAACTCTGATTCCTTTGATGTTTTATATGTGTTCTGTAAAATTTACTGTAATCAAGTATTGATAAAAGTTAGGTACTTCAACGGTCTCATGAGAAATTTCTGAGGCACAAACCAGATTTATAAGTTAAAATATATTTAGGATTATTAAAAAAAAGGCTTATAATAAATAAATAAAATAATTATTGAATTAAAGGCTCTGTCAGCCTCATAACTAACTTGATTAATCATTTATTACTGACTGTTGCATAAAATACAGATTCAATTAAAATATTATGGAAGAAAATGAAAGTGAATAGCTAGAAAAATTGGGAAAGCAATTTTGAAATAACATAAATTTAAAACCTGGATGGAACGAATCATGACAAAAAAATGTATTAAAAAAATTTTACTATTTACTTATTTATTTATTTTCACAAATAGACAACTTTAGCAAGGAAGGGAGGATTTGTAGGAAAATTTATAAATTTATATACTCAAGTTTTGCTATTATTTAGATTTAATGTTTAAAATTCAAGTCTAGTCACATTTTCATTCATATATTTTTATACTTAAAAATCTGAATTTATAAATTTAATGCAGTACAACAATATGTAACAACAGTAAAAAAAAAAAAAAAAAAACTGTACTATGTATATTAAGTATAATTGTGTCTAAATATTTAAAAACATAAACTTGATTTTACAAAATAAATTAAAAACTATTTTTTAAAGGAATTCTGCCTACTTTTTTGATTCATCTTTGCTCATGCCTTTGATAAAATGAACTTTATCAGGGCATGTCACAGCTAATGCAAATGGGTTGCCAGTCACGTTTTCTGCGTCAGCGACTTCCAAAACACAATTCATGTCAATAACAGCTTGTGGAACAGTCTCAGGCTGTCAAAAAACACAGAAAACATTTAGAAATAAAAAACAGGATGTACCATGTGTAACTATCATAATCATCCCAAGAGATAAAGTATAAAAAACATACCTAAGAATACAGAACAACAAATAAGAAGAAAAAAGATTTTCATAAAATAAAATAAGACTTTTGTTATTATATATATATTATATTTATTCATGATAAAAATATTTTGAAAAGGATTGATCAATTTTAATTATCAGAAAAATGAATACGGAATTGTTCTAAATACTGAAATACAGACTTAATTTTTCTTTTTATTACAGTCAAAAGTCGTTAATTCGGACACCCATAATCCGGAATGATCTATAATCCGGGCCTCAAAACTAAAATCTTTCTGCGCATGCGCCGCGTTGACGCATGCGCATAGGCGTTTACGCGAGCGCGCAAGACCTTTACGACTGCGCATATGTGTGTGTGCGCAAGCACAGAATACGTTTTCGCGTGCGCGTTTAATGTATAACGGATGGTATAAGCTAAAATTATCTAATTCAGTTAATGTTGATGATTGCGTTGTTCCTTAATCTTCGAATTGGATCCGGCTTATTATTTTTTGCAGACTGTAAGAGCAATTTTATAAAAGTAAGCTTGAACTTTCGATTATGTCAAGTAGAATTTCCGATGCTGGAGCTCCCCAAAGGATCTACAAAACGAAAGTATGTTTCTATGTCCATCAAACAAAAAGTGGAATTGCTGCAAAAAATGGATAAAGGCATATCCTTTGTTTATATAACCGTTCCGAAATCTGTTTATCAATTTCACGCTGCTCTGCGCGGGGGGGGGAGGGGGAACGTCGCGGCGCAATGAACTGGAAGTTGATCTGTCAGCACTATCGTTATCTTCAGGGCAGATGTTTTTATTTTATTCGACTTATAATTCCTTACTAAACGTAGTATTTCATCTCGATATACTCCGTCTTTGATATGATTTAAATCAAATTCCTCGTCATTATAAATATCACGAATACAAATCAAATAAATTTCTGGTTGCAATTTCTCGCGTTGAAAGAAACGTTTAATAAATTAAACAAATAAATATTAAGGTTTTTTTTTTTTTTTTTTTTTTTTTTTTTTTTTTTTTTTTTAAAATCTTGATACCCTTTAGATCATAATTGCTCATTATTTTAAAAATTACGGTTTCATATTTTTAATTTTATAATTTCTGCATGCCATCTTACCAGATTTAAACCGATGATCTATAATCCGGAATCGCCGAAGTCCCGAAGAGTCCGGATTAAAGACTTTTGACTGTATTTTTTTCTCTACTTTAAACTCTGTTTGTTACAAAATAAATATCATCAAAATATTCCTTGTAAATAAAATAAAAATATGTAATAAAATTTTAAAAATGTTAATCCGTAACTCGCATAATTATTCAGACGGACACTTTTGTTGAGATATTTTCGCAGATAAAATTCTTGTAATTTTAATTTTAAATGAAAATACATCACAAGAATTATCCTCTGCATTTGGAAATTTCTACTTGTTTGCGAAAATGCATTAACAGTTCCATACCTGAAGTAAACATAGCATGCACTAAAAATTAATGACTAATTCTGTAAGACATTTATTAATCCATTTTTTTAAAAATGGTAAATGTATTCGGAGTACTTAAAAAAAAAAAAAAAAAAAAAAACTTTAATGTAAAGCGTTTAACTATCTTTGATGTAATACAACGATGGAAATTGGATGGAACTGTTAAAAAGCGCCGAGTCTGAACTGCATTCCAAGCTAACACCAAGGAATTATATATTTATTCTATGAAAAATCCAACAAGACCCCAAAATTAGTACAGTAAAATGTTCAGCAGATTCAGAACTATGTGCCATAAAAGTTAATCCTGAAACTTTTAGAAAAGTCATTTAGGGCACATAGATAAAATGGGCAATCAACAAGAAGTAAATTTTTCGTCATAAAGGAAATATGTCTGACATTCGCAAAATCTATAGTTGGCAAAATTTTATCATATTGGAACAATGTTATATTTGTAGAAAAGTCGAAATGTATTACATTTGGGCTCGACAGATGAATTAACAGGTGGTAAAAGTTGAATTTCAGAAAAAGTCCGATTTTGCGTCCAAAAACCTACGTTTGAAAAATGCTATATATGTACCTAATATATGTATTCTAAGTCGCGCTTTCGAGACATGAAAAAAGCAAGTTAAATTTCGTCAATCGGCCCAGTAGAACGAGATATATAGAACTGTCTCTTTTTGTGCGTACAAAGTGCATATCTTGGCTAAGCAACTCCATTGCACTGATAAATCACCCACCAGATTTTCATCACCTGTTGCCAGCCAATTTTTTGCTTTTTCCAAAGCTTAAGATGGCCACGAAAAGACACAGATTTGAAAACATCTCGAATATTAAATGAAATGTTATGCGTATTTTGCGAATAGTTAGCTCTAACGCCAATAAACAATATTTGAATAAAATGAATAAATCTTGGAAAAATTATACAGACTCCTCTGGCAATTATTTTGAAAGACAGAAATTTATTTGAAGGTTAGCAATCTTCAATCAATCAACACCCATTATCTAAGAATTTGATTTTTTCAGTTACTAATCTTCACAGGAAATCTCACTCATAAATACATATGTCCTGCATGAGGTAAGATTTTAATATATTTCAATAAATTTCAGAAACTAATCAAAAGTTTTATATGATAGCGTTTATTAAAAAGTAGAAATCGGTACGCTTACATGTTCATCGACAGAGTATGCCAGCTCTCCATCATCATATAATACAAACCATCTTCTCTGCCACCGCTAATTGGGGAGGAAAAAAATACGCATTAAAATCACAGTATGATAATAAATAAACTCGTATTTATTTAATAAAAATACTTAGTCATTTAAAACAATATACAAGCAAATATAGATTTGAGCAGACAACTAGATACAACAAAATGTTAGGTATAAATGTTTTAAGAAAATGAAATATGTCCTATTTGAAAGCATGAATTAATGTGTCTATTAAGGAGTCAAAGGAAGAAAAGAAAGTTTCAATGCAAATTTATTTTTAAATTTTGAGCATAATATTCATATAACATTTCTGTAGGCGGCAAAGAAAAACATATATTTTAGCCTGATATTTAGTTCCCCGCAATTCAGATCTATTAAAAGACCAACCTAAAAAAAAAAACGTCTACTAAAGAAACTGAGCTGCTGTATGCAGAAAGGAGTTCCTCTTATGTAAAAATAATTAGCAAAATTTCATGTTGTTACGCTTAATAAATATTTTCAATAATTCACCTTCAAATTTAGTAACAAATTTAATTTTAAGCAGACGGAATGATTTACCGCCGAAATTCATAAAATTTTGGTTTATAATCGTTCTTCAAATTTGTTATCAAATGTCTTGAATTAAAGTGGTAAGCCGAAATAAATATTTGTTCTTGACTACCCCAATAAATTCTACAGGTTAAGACATTACAAAATTTTAACTTCTTAAAGCATACCCTGCTGTTTCCACAGCTGGCTGTTAAGTCACGAACTACTTACTCGTTTAAAATTAAGAAGTCGTTGAAAAGGAAGCAAAAACCAGTATGCACAAGTATTTCCATGTGACTAAACTCCTCGCCAAACTATTCGACTCGCCCCCTTTTTTGTATTCGTTAAATATATGACTTATTTAACAAACCAAAAACCATTCATTTGAGTATTAAATAAGAGTCACCTCTTCCCTCCATGAATCCTCATTTACAATATTGATATTGTTTCAAAAACATTCTGCATCTTTTTTTTTTAAGAAGTGCTATAACTGAAAGTATATGTCTACATTACTTATGGAAAAATGAGTGTAGTCATCTCTTTCAAATATCCCGTATATTCACAAAGGCCTTTCAATTATTTTGCAAAACTATACATTTATTTATAAAATTCAAATGTTTGCTTTAAGCATCAGAGAAAAATACATAATTAGAAACAAAGAAAACTCCAATATAATATCAGATAAGCAAACTTTTAATATGAAGGTTGAAAGAACTTAAACACAATTGTTTTTAATCTAACTAGAAAGTTAGCAATTTTCTGGTTAGATTAAGAACAATAATAAAAATGGGGAATTATACAAACACTCGCTATTCGAAGCCAAACAAAAGAAATTACAATCGAACCGGAGAATTCTGGGCAAACAAGATTATCGGCCACTTTTTGTTTTTCTAGCAATCGAATGAAAATCTTATATCTTCAAACTAAACACGAAAAGAAGTATTATCTAAACACCGAAGAAGGAAAAAGGAGATAAAATTTGGAAAAGTGAGCCATTCTTCTTGGCTTCTATTCAAATAGAATTCTGTAGAGTTATCTATTTCCACATTTGTTTGCTTAAACGGAAGCATATCAAAAGATTTAAAGGTTATCAACTGACATTCGCATATTGATACTAAGATATCAGCATAGCGATTTTGGAACGATAGAAATCAGCACACAATCATATTTACTCTTCACATATATAACGGTCTTTTCAAAGTAAGTATAAAATTAATTTGCCAAATGCAGTTAAATAAAAATTTTGTTTATTATTATTTTTTAACTGTATTAACAATCAGTTAATGGAAAAATATAATTAGTATCGAGCGGGGAAATCCAGACAGACATGCTACCAATCTGAGAACTCTCATGTCCAATTTATATATACACCGTTATTATTATTTTGCCTTTAATCATTATTATAACCAATAGTCTCTGCATAAGGAATTGCCTTTCTTTCACCATGCCATGCAGTCCGCAAAAAATGCACAATTTACCAGCATATAAGAATAAAAAAGCCGGGTAACAGAGTGGGTTTGAATTTCATTTCTTTTGGGTTTTCGTGTAGAATGAGTTCTACATTTCTTAATTTTAGTCACTCTCTCTCTATATATATATACGTTTAGTGAGGCGGATTGCGACCAAAAAGAAAGTTGCATAACTACATGTTAAAACAGTCCAATATGCAAAATTTCAAAGTTCAAGAGACTAGTTGTTTTTGAGGTACGCGAGATACAAACATACATATGCACGTACAGATGGTCACAAAGAAACCTCTTTTGAATTCATTTTAAAATCCGTTTGGAAAAGAGTCCTTTATTCTGTCTGTACATACAGATGTTACGCAAAAACATCGTTCAAATGGATTCGAGAGCACTCAAAATGGACATTTTCATTAAGACTTGATATCCCAAATTTTTCCGGATTACAATACTTCCTTTATTTCATACAAGGAATTAAAAAATATAAGAAGTCCCCCTTAATGCGAATATAATATCATGCAAATGCGGTGATATGCATTTACCAAAAAAAAAAAGTGTTTTTTTTTTTTTTTTTTTTTTTTTTTTTAGCTTGCGCTAACAATAAATAATTTGAAATGGCAGGTTATTAAGCTCTATTCGTGTTTCTCAAACTCCGAAATTCACATTAAGACGTACAGCATTTCGATAGTAATGAGTCTACTAATAGTAAAATTGAGGGAAGGAAAATCATCAAAATTTCACCATTTTGCGATGCACGAACAAAAGATATTTCTAGATTTTTGCTTAATTAGGAGACGGGAAATTTTACTAGGGTATAGAGATTTAAAAAAAAAAAAAAAAAAAAAAAAAAATGGGGGGGCTCATTCTAGTGTATAATAATTTTCTTATTTCATTCATTTATTCTTCTTGAACAGCATAGCATGCTACTTCACAGAAATATTTAACGATAACTGTTTAGAATACTTTTTAACTTCATACAAAGTCAATACTTATTTCTTAACGATGTAAATTTAAAATCAAAGTATAGTTTGATTACCGTATTTCAAGCGATGAAAAAAAGATGAAGTCGTAAATTCCCAGATTACCGATCTGAAACATTGCCGAAACAATGAATGATGATCATCGATCCAAATCTTTATCATCAGGCGATTGTAAAATTGCAATCCGTTATCTTTATATCAATAACTGATCGCGGCGTTAGGAATTGATAATACTATAACAATTGTGTATGTGTGTAGGAGGGTAAGATTAAGATTTAATTCCTTCCGAAAGAAAAGATTCTTCACCCAAGGATAAAAAGCATGCATGGAACACGCAGTGATCGATGGAGTTTCGAAATAAATTGACACTTATACATGCAAATATCTGAATAAAAAGATCTTCGATCAGTAAAGTAACCACATTTTTGTATTTGAAAACTATTTCTAGCCCAAACGGGCTATTAGTCTCGAAACTCGATTTTGCATTGTTTCATTTCTCATTCAAGTCTGTTGCCATTCCGCAAAATGTAAGATATTTATTTCTCAAATTTAATCTGTATGCTATTGATGAACAAACTAAGCTATTTAAAAAAAAAAAAAAAAGATGCAGTTCTTAAGAACAGTATTTTTTTCTTTTGACTCTGATTCAGTTCAATAAAAATATATTTAATTCATAATGCAGCGAATTAAAAACAGTAAATATTTTTATAGAATTATGCTATATATTTTTTCGCTTTTCAAATGAGCAGAAGATATATAACGTCCCCATGATGTATATTCATCTAGTATCCTATAAAATGTTTCGCTATTTCACCTTGGCCATCTCTGCTGATAAACAATATTAATCTTTGAAACAGTCCTTTTGGGCAAATGTTAAAATCTGAAGCCTTTCGTACTTATTTTCCTCTACATAATCATGTAGATAGTTATACTTTCCCGCATAACAGAATTTGAAATAACTGAAAATGAATAGTATCCAATAATTGAAAAACTGAAAATAAATTTGAATTGAGTCAATTCAAATGAATCATTCAACTGAAAATGAACAGCTTCAGTATACTAATATCCAATTGTAGGGATTTATATTTATTTTAACTAATAATTTAGTTACTCCAGTTTCAGATTTGCTACTCCAGTTTCAGATAGAAGTTCACTCACTTGGACTCTACACAATAATTGAAAAAATGATTTGAATTAAATCAATTTAATGAAAATTGAATGAAGGCAATTGAAAAACTAGAGTTATTAAATAGTTCCGGTATAATAATATTTGAGTAACTGAATAACTGAACATGAAACATATATAAAATTATCAAATACACTAATTAATATTACATATTATATTAAGAAGGTATTTCTTTCAAAACCTATAAAAAAGAATACTCATAATTTTTCACATGGGACGGCAAACTTAAATTTTTATCGCAAGTTTGTTAAATTTTCAACATTTTATTTTGGAGCTATGGTTTTATAAAACGTAAAATTTCAGCAATTCTTGTTGAATAAAAGACGAAAGATATGAAAATATAAACTGCAATACAAAGTCATACAAAAAAAAAAAAAAAAAAAAAAAGATGGTTTTGATTTTAAAAAGGGTGGCTGGAAAAAGGATTGGGGGGGGGCAGTTAAACGATTTTTATCGCAAAACAAGCATGAAAGGTTATAGGTTCTTTTTTTTAACCATATGACTAGTAAATTTCAGTACGAATTTCAGTTGCCCTAGGGTGAGCAAAGCGCTATTATTTTTTTTCTCACGCATGCTGGTGTGATACTTCTTTGGCGAAATGAAGCAACTCCAATGATGAAACACAGCAATAACTTTTATTTAACACTAAAAAAAATGGCGACATACAAACAAGAAGAGAAAACATATTCTATAAACTTATTTAAAAATAAATTACATTCTTCGTGCGAGAGTCGCACGTGGCACTCGAGTCTGGTTTCAAATATTGCCATACACAAATACCTTAATGTTCATCTATTTAAATTGTTTAAACTACAAGATTTTTATTTAGTTAAAGCTGTTACAACCTCTCCCCCAACGGAAAGACTT